CGCCGGATCGACGGCGGTGGCGGCGTCAAGGGCTGCCGCGTCAGCGGGTACGGCATCATCATTCACAGTTGGGATATCCGCCACATGGTCGTCGTACATTACACCCGGCAGTAGTTGACCGCCTGCGTCAGCGGCGACATGTACGTCACCCTCCCGTATCGCACCGCTGCCAGAACCGCAGCTGGCTTCGGCTGCCGCCGCCGCCCCGGAATGCACCGCCGCTATTGCTGCTACAGCTGCTCCCGCCGCTGCCGCCGCCCCACGCTGCACCTTGATGTCGGTCCTGATGGGCCCTACAACTGCGTCAGCTGCCACCTCGTCGATGACCTCCCAGGCAGTAGCAGCGGCCCCTTCAGCGGCGGCAGCCGCGACAGCCTCCTCAGCCGCCACAGTGGACGCGCCGCCGCCCAACACGGCTACTGCCCAAGCACCGGAGCCTCCAACCGCCCAACACTGAGAACCCTGTGCAGCGCCCACGGGTGCGACATCGCCACTGACGGCAGTAGCAGCCGCCGCAGTAGCAGCATTGGCCGCGACCCCGCCGGGAGCAGCACCATGAGCACCGGTCACGGCCCCCTCGGCAGTAGCACCGGCAGTTGCATTGGAAGCAGCAAGGGCAGTAGCACCGGCAGTTGCAGTGAAAGCAGCAACGGCGCCACTGGCAACGGCGCCACTGGCAACGGCGCCGGCAGGCAAGATCTCCCTCTGGTGCGATGAAACTGCAACATCCCGACTCTCCCCCTCCTGCTGCTGCTGCTGCTGCTGTAAATCCAGGAGGCTGCCATCGGCAACTGTCTCAGCCGCCGCCATCGCTGTCCGCAACCCAGGCTCGGACTGCTCTGGGGTTGACTTCAGAAGTAGCTGTTGCTGCTGCTGCTGCAATAGCTCCTGCGGTGGCACTGGCGGCAGTGATGACGGCGGCGGCGGCGGCTTCAATGCCTCTTCCGTCTGCTGCGGTAGAGGTGAGTGTGGTAAGGGGGGCAGCGGCTGCTGCTGCTGCTGTTGCGGCTGATCCAAGAGCTGTGTCTCCTGCCCCAGCGCCAAGTCGTTTTGGTGCTCCTTCTGCTGCGGCTGTTGCGGCAGCGGTAGCGCTGGCGCCAGTAGTCCCTGTAACCCCGGCTGCTGCTGCTGCTGCTGCTGCTGCTGTAGTTGCGCA